CTCCCCCGAGCCGTCCCGGCGCGAACCACTCTGCGCGGCCGAGGGGGGGCGGCGGCGGGACGGAGGAGGAGCCCCTGCTCGTCCGAGGAGGGAAATCGCCAGAGAAAATAGCCGATATTTCATTTATTCAAGTTTAAAGTAACTCTTCGGCCTTCTCAGGGGGTGGGAGGGTGAGAAGAAGGGACAAGGGGCCACTCGGTGTCCGCGGGGACCCTCCCGGAGAATGGGGAAAAATGGTTTCTCCCATCGAGGGGCGGGTTGGGCGCCAAAGGCAAGTGCGAGCGGAGCGGGGAAGGAGCTGGGCGCGGGGGGGCGGGGAGCGTGGCCGCCATTGGGGAGCCCTTGGGGAGCCCTTGGGGGCGCAGGGGGTGGTCGGGCCCCATGGCGGAATGAAAGTGCGAAGGGAAACGCTGCGAGGCCCAGCGAGGGCTTCAGTGCCCCATATGTGGCCAGCCCAGACCCACAGCAGCCCTTGCTGCCTCACAGGTGGCCAAGTCAGACCCATAGGAGCTGGTGGCCGTGACTGCAGGGCATGTGGGCACCCTTCCTGCCCTGCAGGTCTTGGTGGCCGGCACTGCCCCACACATGGTGACCCTGGACCCACAGCATCTGGTGACCCTTGTCACCTTACACATGGTCACCCTGGACCCACAGCAGATGGTGGCCCTCGCTGCCCCACGTGTGGTGGCCCCAGCCCCACAGCGGCTAGTGGCCCTTGTCACCGCACATGTGGCCAGCCCAGACCCACAGCAATTAGTGGCCCTTGGCAACTCCAGACCCACAGTGGCTGCACCACTGCCTGGCACCACCACCCGCACACCCTGAACCCTGGTGGCTGCAAGCAACTGTAAGCCCAAAGTTGTAAGTTGTGAATTTCAGCCACTTCTCCGTTTTTTAGCTAATTTGTCAAGCTTTGGGAAGCTGAGTGTGTCCATCTTTGCTCCAGATGAGTTAAATGGCAGGAATACTGCCAATGTTCCCCGAAGAAGAGAGCAAGAAAAGCTCACTTGAGTCTGCATCTACCTATTCATCTCCCTGAGAGCCAATATTCAGCTCTGCAAATAGCTGTCAAACACACAGAATAATCAAAGTGAAGAAACATTGTTTCTCTTTTAATCTCTTCCCTTAACAGTAATTTCAGGTGTCACTGTACAACAGTAGGGGCACAACATTTTAGAGAAAACGCAATTTTCAGTTTGACAGAGCTCCTTCAAAATGCAACTGTAGTCAACACTTCTGTAAGTGCCTGCGTTGACCTGTTAACACTAATAAAAATCAGATTTTAAAAGGACCTTCCAGTTCCTTCCTCTCCTAGAGCAATAGCTAGATGAATTAATTTCCTTTACATGAAAATCTCCCCTGGGCATAACCATTCTTCACCATTTAATGAAATGGTTTCACTAAAGGCCCATCAGGAGGCTATTGTGATAGACTTTGTCTACACCCTTAAAGAAATGGCCCACTGTTTCTTCAGAAAACGCAGTGCTCGAAAAGCTCAAGTATTTAATGGATTGTTCTATGGAACAACTTTGGAAATAAATTTTCCCGTTCCTTTGTTATCTACTACTTAAAATGCTCAAATTGGGAGAAAGTATTTTCACCATTTGCACTTTCAGAATTCTTGTCCCTGTAGGATTTCAAGGAGTTTAACAACATCATCCTGGGTGTGTTAAACAGATTTTAGTCCTCACTTTGTCTGGGATGCTGCCATTTCATGTCCCAGCTCTTGGATCTTACTAGGGAAAAGAAAACAAGAATATAGAGAAGAATGAGGGAAGTAGAATTTCCATTTTTCCTCCCAAGATGCTTAGCCAGTCCTACACGTGATTAAAAAGAAAGATTAAAATCCATAGTGTGCTAATATTTTATGGTAAATAAGTGGAATGGATCTACAGAGTCTGGATTAACTTTTACTTCTTAAAATCCCACAGAGCAACACTTGGAAGTAAGTGAGGAAAGAGCAGGATGTTTGAAGCATTTGAGACAGTATCACACAACACAGTCAAGTTTGATCTCAGCCAAGAGACTTCAGTGCTCAGACCCACTGTGGGTGGTAGAGGGGGGGCATTCAAAACTGATTTCCAAAGGCAGTAAAACCACAGAAACACCCGAAAATTGACATTTTTTAAACTGCAGTCCCCTTCACCAGCAGAATTTAGAGCTATAAGGTGCCTTGAGTCACATTTTCAAGCTTTCTTCTGTAGCTACAAGGTCTAGAAACTTGTTTTCCCCTAATTATAAAATCCCAGAGGTAAGATTTAAGTCTCCTCCCCTGAAGAAGCAATTGAGGCAATTGATTTTGCTTTTCCCTCTGCTGTTGCACTGACATTACTGGCTGCACTGTATCCTTCCAGAAACCCTGGTTCCTTTCAAAGCCCTAAGAGACAGGACCCCGTAACCCGGAGCCCGCAGCAGGTGGCTATCACCAAGCACAGCAGTGAGCACTTTAACCTCTGCATTATCAACAGGCACAAACAGGGCCCTGGGACCTTTTTAACCCCCACACGCTCGTTTCCCCGTGCGGACAGCGGGAGTACAGCAAACTCCTGCAGGTGAGAAGCGCCTTCCGTGTCACACAGCTGTGCGCCGGCACCGGGCGGCGTTTGTTCACCGGGGTAAAATCAGATCGCACGGATACTTCATCACAAACCACCCCCAGCGCCATGTGCTTAAAAAGAAAGAAAGAAAGAAAGAAAGAAAATTGATACTATTCAGTAAGGAATAGGGTGGCCACCACACTCTTGTTCAGAGCGTGGGGAGGTGTTACGTGGATATTCGCATCTCCCAGCACACAGGTTTTGTCACGGGCCTTTTACTAGTATTAGCAGAGGTTTGTGTCCAAGGGAGGGACTGCTGGCGCCTTTCAGACCATGCTGAAAATATTCACCCAGCCCCAGCGCAGCGAGTAGCATCTTTCTCCTGCCCCGCAAAGCAGGGGACTTGGTTCAGCACCTGGAGGCCTGTAATCAGGGCTCCCAACACGCAGTGTTTGCACTATTGCATCTCCTCAGTAGGTGCTGCGGCGCTTATGTACTTTTTTCCATGGCCCTGTTTTATAAGCAGTGCCTTTCTATAAGTCTACTATAACTCAATATTAGCATTAGAAAGGAGAAAGTGGGAGCACTGCTTTGATTCATGGTGTCTTCGTCAGCATAAAACGTACACTTATCTCTTTAATCAAGCTTATCTCTTTAATCAAGCTTGATGGGAACATGTAGATGGGATTTAAAAATTCTATTTTTTTACTCATTTAAAATAGTTACTTTTCATTTAGAAAAAAAGCTTTTCAAATATTTAAAAAATGTAGATTTTATTATTCTCTCTTATGTTACTGCTTTCAGTTATGAACTAACATAGAGACTGCTTTTCTTCATCAGCGGTTGTAATTACAGGGTACTAAAAGCCATTTTTAAGAGATGGCAGGAATCCCTTGGCTGGTTGACACTTTCAGTCACTTGTGCTTCCTCGTGCAAGGTCCTTGAGCAGGGCACGGGAGGGAAGACCACGGAGCATCCTTGGGAAGGCTTCATGTCAATGCTTTTAATAAGACTGTCACACTTGGCAAGAAGAGACCCATAGGCTAAAACAGCAGCAGCAAATAAATAATAGGAAAAGATTGCTCTTGCAAAGATGCATTTGAGTACAAATTAATGTGTTTCAGGTTCAGTGAGGGAAAGTAGCTGTTCTGCTCACCATCTTTCAGCAGAGCCTCTTTATGAATAAAATGTGGTTGTGGCTGAATTAATTTAATTTGGCTCACTAATTTTATAAAGCAAACCACTACACAACTATGAAATTAATTAAATATCACAGAGATAATTCGGAACACGTGCAGATGGATTTCTACCAGCAGATGGCGCAGGATGCAGCATCCGAAAGCAGCTAAATTCGTATTTATGCAATGTAGGAAGAGGCCTTAAGTCAGCTGCAGAAGGATAGAAAACATCCTTGTCGCTATTCACTCTTGTGAAACAAAGTGCTTGCTTATATTGGGAAATTTTGTGAATGGAACGACTGCTCTGCGTTTCCTGTAAACCCCAGGCGAGGCTCTGGGGTGTCTGTGGCGCGAGGGATGCTCCGTGCTCGCAGGCAGCGCTGTCCTGCGCTCCGGGCGCTCGGCCCTTGCGTTGGGAGCAGGGGATGGGTTTGTAATATCCCTTGGATGCGGCTGCGCGCTGATGGACGGGCTCGTGGTGCTGGGACACGCGTGGTCGCGGCAGGGCTGGGATGCAGGGAGCGGTGCCGGGCCGGGCTGCGCGGCCTCACGGCGCTGCGTCTGCTCGGAGCAGCCCGGAGCAGGGCAGGATCAGCGGGTTCTCCTCCAAATACATTCTGAGAGGTCTGACCTCCAAAGACTCGGCTAATCCCAAACTCCGGATGAAAGATCGCCGGCTCAGACGGCGGCACTGGCTTGTGGGGATCAGGAGGTGATTTAATAACAGCTTGTTTTCCTCCCGAAGACACTGCCTGAGTGAAGTGAGCCGCTTTGGCCAGCAAAGAACCACATGGACCTAGAAGCGTGTCCCATCCGTGGAGGTGCAGACGTGTCTGCAGAAAAGACGTGTTTTCTGAGGGCATGGAAAAGCAGCCGAGGGCCCTGGGGAGCTGCTGGGGGGTGGCCCCTGTCAGCAGGCCTTGGCCAAAGGGGCGTTTTACAACCATTTGATGCATCCTTCGGATATCCCTGTCCCCTTGCGGCCTGCAGAGCCGCACGCAAACGCCCTTTCCTAGCTCATCCACCAAAACCGGCCCAGAGGAAAGGCCAGCGGTGTTCGGCCCAGCGGCGTCCCCTTGGCAGGACTTCCCCACGCAGGCAGCCGGGCGGCCCGCAGTGAATGTGAAATTCCCTCCTGGCCTTTGAAGATCAAACAAAAGCCAAGATAACACAGCTTTATCACGGAGAGGAAAACCACTGCCCACAGCTTATCTGGGCCGCCAGCCGTGGGCGCCACTTCGCGAGCACTCAGCCTTTCCCAGGCTTTTCCCACACGGAGTTGGTGGCGACAGGACATCCTTGCTGAGAAACTGTGCTCGGTGCAGCCCACGGCGGCTGTTCCTCTCCTGCAGCTCTCCGAGGACGCGGCTCACGGCTTGTTCAGCGCAGGCTTGCAGAGCCCCGGCACCGGGGACGTGCATCTTTACTCTGTACGGGCCCCTTTGATGCCGCTGAAGCCAACAACGTGCAAAAATCATGCAAAAACCAAAGGCACCTCTTCCAGATCACCTCAGTTTGCAGTGACGGCGAGCGGATCCGCTTTTCTCTTCCTCCTGGCTCTCCATGTGCACACACAGGGTGTCCTATCAGCAGTTTCAGCACAGCAGCAATTTTACTTCAAATTAGAGCAAACAGCTTCTCTAAATAAAGATCTAAAGGCAGGATTCAGGCGGGGTCTGGTGCAAAGCCTGGTGTTCAGTCGTCCTCCTTCGTCCTTCCCCTGGCGCAAGGGGCTTTGGATCCGGGCCTGGGGGCAGCTCACAGTGGACGGGCAGTTTAATAACCAGGGATGAGTCACTGTCAAACGCTGTCTGCTTTACAAAGAGAGCTCAGAAATGGAGTATCTCTGTGCAACAGAAATAAACCACTATTCATTAAAAAAAAAATAGAAAGAAAGAAAGAAAAAAGAGAGAGGGAAAAGAGAGCCCATGAAAAACTACATGATCACCCCCCTTGGGAGACCTGGGCCTCAGGAACATGTGAGGAGCTTTGCTGGCCACAGCAGCTCAGTAAAGCCAAGCCTGGAAGACGGTCGTGCCGCAGATTTTTGAGGGCATTGCCTGTGGTTTTGGGGGTTGCGCAGCTCCTAGCTTGGAGGGGGTCTTGCCAGCCACCTCAGCGGGGTGCAAGAGGCCAAGGAGGAAAGGAAACCTCTTCACTAAGCCCTAATGTCACTTGCAGGTCAGAGTCCTTCAAATTCAGAGGCCAAAATTAACAGATTGGGTAACACCATGGTTTACAACACATCTGTAAAGCGAAGCAGGACTTTGTGAGTGAAGCCCTGGTGTCAGAACTTCGCTCGATTTTCTCTGATGACTCAACCTATTTCACAGGCTATTTTCATATTCCGTATTTAGAGGACTTACTCACGTCTTGGTGAAAGCCTACGATGTGATAAAGCCAGGCAACTGTAACGTGTGGCGGTGGTAACACCTCCCACGCCAAAAAAATCCTACTTCCATATCTGTGCGGCTCCTTGTATTGGTTCCTGCCTTTTCTTCTCCCTGGAGAAAGCGAGCTGGCATCGTGTCTCCTGCCCAATTAGCCTAAACCTGTGAAAAGTGGAGCCGTCAGGTCAAACACATCCTGGTCGATGCTCCGGTTATGGGGAACATTTGGCCCTTTGGCTTCCTGGGAAGGCAAGTGTTATTTTTAACATAAAAACAACAACGCCTGCGGGTTGCCGTCTTCATTTGGATGTTGTCTCCTGGAAAAGTTATCCACCACAAAGCAAGGAGTTAAGAATAACTAACTTGGTCACCCTGGGACTGTGTCAGGGATGGGTTGTGCGATATCAACCACCAGCGCAGCTTGGGCATGGTAAATTTTACACGTATTTTGCTGGTCAGATTCAAGTCTACATCCCCAGAGCGTGTTGCCTGAAGTAAAGATAAACGAGACCTGTGTCTTTCAAAGAGGAGATTCTGCCACAAAGTATTTTGTGCCCTCTGGAAGACCCTTTCATCAGACACACAGCATGGAGCAAAGGGCAGTGCGGGTTCCTGCCGGGACCGGCGACCGCTCCTGCTGGCACCGAGGAGCCCGGGACAGGAGGGCTGCACGATCAGCAGTGTCTCAAGGCCCAGTGTGGCCCCGGACCAGGGGCAGCAGCACCTGCAAAAGCCCCTTCTCTGTGGTGGTTCCTCCCCTCTTCTTTGGATCCAGGTATCCTGAGGGATAAGCTCCAATCAAAGCTTTGCCTCATGTCACAGCATTCATAGCACCTTTCCTGCACTTGGATTTTCTGTTGTCCAGTAACGCCCTGCTTTAAGCCTTCCCCTTGAAAGCCAGCTGGTCTCTATTTTCCCCTCAAATCTATCAGATTTTTGATTGAGATCTCTAGCCCCTGCCAAGCTTACATGGACACGTGCCCATGGACCAGCCGGTTCAACCACTGCCGGTGCTATCAACCCTTCTGAAGTGCTCAGAAGAGCGGATCTCAAGGCCGGCCCTCGTTGGGAATTTCTGCACGGAGGACTCCAGAGGCAGGTCCTGGGGGAGCCGCGGCCC